GAACTGTAGTTTGTTAAAGGTGCTGAGAGTTGTTAGAAGGCAGCAGACAGAGGAAGCCCTCAACTCAGAGAAAACTCATTACACTTTCTCTGATTCATCCTCTATCAGGATTACCTGAGCATGATAAAGCAGCAATCAGGCAAGACATCAAAACCCTTGAATTTCCAGGCAAAAACAGAAAAGAAGCACTTTGGTGTGGTAAGCTGTTTATTAGGAAACAACCAATTATAAGCAAACAAACACAAATTGGGTGTGGGTGTGTGAATAATTTAAATGTAGGTGTCGAAGAACAGCAGATCCATCCATTAAGCAACTCAGGAAATTTCTTGCCAAGAAGAAACCACTTTGGCATGTGGAATATCTCTATACTTTCTAGATAAGAAGTGAGGCTGAATATCCAGCAAACAGCAGCAAACCATGAAATTGCCTGAGATGAGGGGTGCTCATGGAGTCTCATGGGGGCTTAATACTGTAAACAGGTCATTCAGATATTGCAAAAGAGTTGTTGGCAATAAGTGGCTTTTTAAAACTTTTCTGATTTCTCGTGTGAAAGGTAAATCTGGGTTAAATGAGGAGGAAATGCTGATGACAACAATGTTGTGTGGATGCTTTCAAAAGCACACATGCGTGTGGCACATTGATCCCATAGAAAAACACCCCTCTGGAAGCACCCAAGGACTCTGTGTGCGGTCAGAGGGACTCTCTTAGTTATGGCTGACTGATTGACAATACAAGGATGCCCCTGTAGTGAGATTTTATGGGGAGAAAGATTCTCTCACTGTCACCACAAGTCCACCTCTTACTGCAAAGCCTTGCATGGAATGCAGAGGTTTTTGTCTGGAAGGCTTCCTTGCAGAGAGAACAAAAGTGGAGCGGAAAGCTAAAGGCAAAGTGGAAGCAAGGATGAGGCCCTAGAGGGGTAGGAGGCAGCAGGAAAGGGCGAGGCTTGTGCACACCAGGAAATGCTTCGTCTTGGACAGCTTTAAGAGGGGGTTTGACAAATGCATGGAGGATCAGGCTACCAGTGGCTGCTAATCCTGGTGGCTGTGGGCTCCTGGGTCAGAAGCAGTATCTTTGAATACCAGTTGCTGGGAATCACAAGCAGGAGAGTGCTGCCATGCTCCTGTCTTGCTCAAAGGCTTCCCAAGGCTTCTCATAGGAATCTGGCTGTCCACTGTGAGGCGCAGAATGCTGGATTAGCTGTGCCTTTGGTCAGATTCAGCAGGACCTTCCTTGTGATCACAGAAGGAATGCATTGAGACAGAACCGAAAGGAAAAGAAACGCCTCCCTGCCCGGACTTGTGTGCAACTCATTTGGTTAATTCTGAGCATTTGTGCTGGCTATTTGTTGATCCTGGTGCGGGATAAGTGGTAAGGAGCTAGTAAAGTTTGACAGGCCTGGTAAAAATGGAGGGAAACAGTACCATTTTGTTCCAAGAAAGACCCAATAATTTTAAAAAGCTGCTGTCTCTCTCGCACACAAGACTGCAATTAGATGGAGAGGAGGGAGAGGGGAAGGTAGAATAAATGAGTAACACATGTGACTCTGCAGAGGCCTGTGGTTAAGACGTCCGTGGAATGCATCATTACAGGGAAGCTGTGCTATTATATTGTCTCCACTCCCCCCTTTCTAATCTCCCACTGCATTTCTTCCTGATAACTGGCCCTGGATGAATCCAATAAACCCTGAGAACTCTGCACTGACGTAGGCTGCAGTCTTCTACACACTTACCAAGGAATAAGTCCCAGTGGAATCATGGGCCTGCTTCCTTCAGAGTAGAAATGCATCAGATTGCACTGCTGGCAGACAACCTTGCTTGGATCTCACCAATGAGTTAGACCAGGAGGTGGGCAGATCAGCATCTACTGTCAGATCACCGAGTGATTTGCAGAAGGAAGCTGCCTTTATAGCAAGCAAGGCTATGGGTCCATCTACTTCAGTTTTGTTAGCAGAGTCACTAACAGGTTGTGAAGGAACTCGGTGTGGGAGCGTCACCATTGTCCTAATGGTGGCACTTGGACAATATACCCTGAGGTGCTGAGAAATCTTCACATCTAGAGTGGGCAAACAGGTTCCAATGAAATAGAAGATACTGTCTGGGGCTTCTGTTGGGAATCTGGTTGGCCACTGTGTTAACAGAATGGTCGGCTATTCAGCTGGGCTATTCCTATGTTCTTAGGACACTAATGCATTGCATGCAGAAATTGCTCCTGATAGGGGGTGGCCTGAGCTCCAGTGGCAGTGATCCCACAAAGGGTACCCAAGGGCCCTGGACATAATAGGAATTAATATGGCAACCCTCTGCCTGTTGATGTGATGTCCTACATCAGTGTTGCCACTTTGAGTGATGCAGGTGAAAAGCTATTCAGAAACCAGTATGACCTACTTCTTTGGGGTGAGGTGAAGGGAATATTTAGGGCGAAAGAATTAGCTCAGGTATAAGAGGCACAAGGAGAACCAAAGCAGGCGTCCTTTAGTAAAAAGGAATTCTGAGAAGGGCTATCAATGATTTCTCAAGAAAAGCTCAGCAGCTGCTTCTATTTCTCAGCAACGATGAGTGACTAAGAAGACATTAAAGGTTCCCCCCCCCAAACAAAAATAGTCGGCCCCACTGAGAAATCCCTCGGTTAATCAGAGCTTGTTGCACAGACAGGAAAGAATGGGAAAATGAATCAACTGAATTGCAAATAAATGGTGGCTTTCTTCAGAAATGTACTGAGGCAAGGTCACTGTATTAGAAAGGGTTGGGTGGGTCCCATGTTTCAAAGCATGACTTGTTCTTCTGCAGGAACTACTACAGTAATCTCATTGATCCCTCCCTCCCAACAACAAGCCTTCCTAAATGCCATTGCGTGTGGCCTGAAAACCGTCCAGCACACAGCTGATGGGGATGCCAGCCACAACCCTGGCAACTTAGGGCCAGCTTATGCAAGCAACAGAATCAAGTGGCTAGGCTTCTCCTGGACTGTACCACTTCACAGTGCAAGAGGGAGAATTGGACTTGGTGTCCAAAAACGCAGTTACTGTATAAACAGGCACTTGGTTACACAATTCAAGAAAAGCTAGCAGTCAAAAATGGAAGTTGTTACTAGGTGAAGGCACAAAACTTGTCAATGAATCAGCTGCTTCATTAGGAAGGAAAACCCTAATCCAACACGTCCCCCCCCCCCGCCCGCCGCCCTGCACCTCTCAATGTCAGATCATGGCAATGTCTGCATGTTTCCTATGACTCACTGCTGCTGCCATTATCAGAGTCCATTTTACTGAAATCCTCCAGGAAAGTGGCACAGCATGACTGTGCTCTTGCAAAGTTCCTGCTGTATTCAATGATGCTTTGCACAGGAGAAATCCCATGCCCTTGCTGCATGTCACTGCAGTCTCTGACTGACAGATATCCTTTTACTCACAGCATAGCTACAGAATAGCAAACTCTTAATATTTCCATTTTACAGACAGAGGACAGAGATACCAAAAGATTGTATGGTCTTAGGTTTTTCAAGAAACTGTTTAGCAGGCCCACTATCAGACATATCCAGTCCCTTGTTATACCACAATCTACTGAATCCCACATCACCTGTTGGAACTGGTATTTGGAGGCATTCAGCAGCCCAGCTCAACCTCCCCCTGAACTCTCAGGTTTGCCATTTGGGTGCTTGTCGGGATTTGGTCCTGGATGTCCAGATTCAGCAGTGGCGAGGAGACTTTTGCAGAGATATGGCCAGACTATTGACCAGAGCATGTGATAGGGAGCATGTGATGACTCACATGTTCAGGAGCAGTTCAAGAGAGGGCCTTCTTGGTTACTGCTCCCAGGCTCTGTAACGTCATGCCAAGGGAGGCCCATATCATTCCTTCTCTGATGACCTTCTGTCAGCAGGCAAAAATGTTTTTATTCATACGGGCCTTTGAACTCATAGGTTTTTATGGCCATTGTAAATATGTTGCAATTGAACGTGGTTTTTTTTTATCAGTTTTGCTTTAACTGATGTGCTTTACCTACCTTTTATGAATGTTTTTCATTTGTTATCATGTATTTTGAAGTGCATCTTGTTTCTGTGAGCTGTTTGGAACACCATTTGGTAGGAAAGGCAAGACACAAATCTGAAACAGACAAATTAACAAATAAACAACACATAGCCAAATTGTAGAGCAAACTGCATGAAACATGGGAAGCCCATAACTGGATGTCCTGATGTAATACAAGGATAGGCCACTCCCTTGAATTAATTGGTTGTAGAAGGGAAAACATGCAGGCACAATATGGGTGCCTGTATATTTTCCTCTCCATGGCTGATAGCAAGTAGCGAAGTTGGGTGATGATGAGATTGTGCTAGGGCCAGGATAACCCCTGATCCAAACTGCCCCTTCTCTTGTATGCATTTAGAATAAGAAAATAATTTTGGGAGATCCAATCTTGGCATCTCCATGTAACATCTAGACACGTGATGTGCTTAAGGATGTTTTGAGGGATGTGGCAAGCAAAATTCCCTTCTTGACTCTGACATTGACCCTTTTGCTTGGAGCACAAAGCTGAGATATGAAGTACCAGGAGATCATGGAGGAGCAGGATCTTGTGGTGAGAATAAAATGGGGGGAGAACACCACATAGCTACCCTGAGCTCCTTAGAAGGAGGGTAGGGTAACATGTAATTTCAAAAGTGTATCTTTTCTTTTAAAAATTCTCATACCTATAAACTTTCTTTGAAGCTGTAAACGCATTCAATCTAATTTTCTACACATCCCTCGTTTCTCCACAAACCGGCTTTTAATTTCCTGAAAAACAAGCTGCAGTACTTACAGTGCCTCAATAGCATTTCAGGGTAATTAAACAGAGGATTTGCTCGCATTTGCAGAACCAAGGTGTTGATTTTGTCACTGCCATGGGTTTAAGACAAGTGCCTTTCATTTCTTGAAGATACACAGTGATTTTTTAAAAAACAATGTTCCTTTGATTCAGCACCGGGTTTCATATGCTGCCGTCTTTCTGTTTTCTCCCTAGTAGACTTCTCTGCATTGGAGAGACCCTTGCCGTGAGGAGCCAAGATGTTGGTACTACTGGCTGGTATTTTTGTGGTCCACATTGCCACGGTCATCATGCTCTTTGTCTCCACCATTGCCAATGTAAGTAGCAAGCAAGACTTCCCCAATGGCCGTTCCTTGGGCAACATGGGCAGGGCCTTTTGATCTCCTCCAGTTTGACACAGAATAAGGGAATAAAAGCGTCAAAGACTCTCACACTGAAGGTGCTGGCCATTCTTTGGAGGCAAACTCCAGACGATAGGCCTGGAATCTATGGGCAGAAGCAGATTTCAGCTAAACGTTAGGAGAATCTTCCTAACAGCAGATGCTGTTTGACAACAGACCCACAGCAAGTGGGGTAGGCAAGGCCCTTCTTTCACTGAAGTGTTTGTTGCATCCTGCATTGCAGATCGTACATGGAACTGGACTAAAAGGCTGCAGGTTTGAGCCCCATTAGGAACAGCTCCATATTCCTGCATTGCAGGGGATTGGACTAGAACTAGATGATTCTTAGAGTCCGTTCCAACTCAAAGATTCTATGCTTCTATCTCCTTGGTCCCATCCAAGTCAACAGTCTATGAGGTGAGGCTAACAATAGGCTTTTGTGCTGATATAGCTCCAGAAGACAAATCACCTCCAGAAAAAATGTCAGAAAATTTCCTTGAATTTTATATGGCTTAAGGTGCCTCTATTTGCATAACTGGCCCTTGAAACCTATTGCAACAAGTTGCACACTGAGAAATGGAGGGACATTATCTATTTGTCAACTGAAACAAACCAGCCATTCAAGGCTGCCTAAAGGCATGAAATGGTGGTGTTTTCACACTCCTGTCCTGAAGTGAGAAACACCCGGGCACACCCCACTCAAAAACCAGTTGAGTGAGTGGAATTAGCACATAATCGCTTTGAGGTGTTTTACCATCCCACCTGCCAGACAGTCTGCTATATAATTATACAGTATTTCCATACTCGTCTGTTTCTGGAATTAGAAAATATTCTCATGAAGTGTTTGGGCAAAGCCACGTACAAGAGGAAGTTAGAGGGTATTATTCAACGCTGTGATTGATTTGTAATAGAAATCTAGACTGATCCCCACCTGCCCAAACCAGAATGCTATAACCCACTCTTAACAAGATTACAGGGTCTCTCTGATTTTTCAACTGCACATCAAGAGAGGCAGCAGAAAAGGAAACAGTTTATGTTTTAAATAATAATAATTAAAAATTAATAAAACAAATTAATAAAGCATAAAACAAGTAGAAATAACAAAAATAAGCAAAATTATCTATTAAAATTTAATCCACCTTAGATAGATAGCTATATATGCTGCAATGTGTGTCAACATTTGTTATTTCTATCATATGAATGTGGGTGCAGACAAACCCAGGTGCATTTTGTGGGTGTCCAAAAACACTTCAGTTCTCAGGCCCTGAATGTTGATTTGGTTTGACACTGAGCAGATTTTGGACATTCCCCTATAGCATTTACTCGGTAGCTTTCCTCATATGCAATGCTAGATCAAACTGGCTTACCGTGGAAGTGGGCTGTTGCACAGTAAATGAAGCAAGGCTTAGCTCTTCCCTTGCTCCTGGAGATGCCACACTACTAAGAGTTAAGCTATGGTTTGCATTACTTGTGAACCTGAGCTCGTGGTTAGCTAGTTTCACTCCCAAGCAAACCACAAGCTGTAACCAATATTTGTTCTCTGCTTAGAATGATTGTTTCATTATGGTACTGCTCCCTAGTGGACACAAGTAGATATGGGGAACATGCATACCTCTTGGCAGGGCAATGGGGCAGCATATCCATGCATGGTCTCTTCAGGCATTAAGCTTATGGCTACGGAGAACACACAAGTCCCCCTTCCCCCTGGCATTGACCTTTACAGAGGAAGCAAGAGAGAGAAGCTTTGCATGTATAGACTTCCATAAGATTCGTAAGCCCAATTGCTCAAGGATCTAGAACATGGGTAGACAAACTAAGGCCCGGGGCCCGGATCCAGCCCAATTGCCTTCTAAATCCGGCCCACAGACGGTCCAGGAATCAGTGTGCTTTCACAGGAGTAGAATGCGTCCTTTTATTTAAAATGCATCTCTGGGTTATTTGTGGGGCATAGGAATTCGTTATATATATTTTTTTCCCCAAAATATAGTCCGGTCCCCCACAAGGTCTGAGGGACAATGGACTGGCCCCCTGCTGAAAAAGTTTGCTGACCCCTGATATAGACTGTGAGGAGCCTGCAGACGTGGAAGCTCCCTCCTTCCTTCCAAACATTTGAGCTGCATGTGCTGATGTTAAGGGGAGAAGCTGCATCATAAGGCTGTGCTCACATACAGTGCAGCTTCCAGAATAAGGAGTATAGCAGCTGAAGAGGGCTGCTCTCGTCTTCACCAAACTCTCAAAGCAGAACAGCTAAATCCACCTCAAATGTTATTACAGAACATCCCCTTTCAAAAAACAAAACGCGTGCTATTTAACTGATTGGGCTGAAGCATTTTAGATGCTTCAGTTCATTATTTATCAGTCCTGCCTACATCCAAGACATACACAAAGTAATAGATGATTAATAGAATATCAGGAATATATGTTTGGCTTGTTGCACTAAATCCTGTTGATCTGTGTGATGATTAAAATGAATAGGTAGGGAATGGTTTATGCCAACATGTGTGCTCCTGCTAGCTGTATCCAGCAACTGATGCTTTCAGATCAAAGACGATGTTGTGCCATGAATGAGAATTGTCTGCAAATCCAGTAGAACAGATTGTAAAATATATTTGCAAGTCTATTACCTGCATACATGCAGCTATCCGATACTTTAAAGATGCTAACAGTCAAAGGTTTGGTTGACTCAGATTTCCTTAGACACTCTGAAGTGTGAGCTATAATAAGCAAATGCAACATGAAAGGCCGAGCTTTTCAGGAAAGCAAGCAATCGTGCCTCTTTGCAAAAACCCACAATGACACATGGAGAATGGAGAGCTTCAAGTGCCACATGGTAGACAGGACTACAAAGCATCTTGTTCAAAGCTGTGCCCTACCTCCTGCCCCAAAGGGAGGTCCTTCAGTCTACCCATCCTCCCCAGGTCAATCTAAATTTGCCACAGGCTGAAGTGACATTAAATGCGGATAATTTGTCTCTTTTTTCAAATTTGGCATTAAGTGGGCCATTTTACTTTTCTCAGGGATGGAGGCTGATTTTAGCAGAACTCTTGGGTGGGTGCCATCCAGACCCAGTGATTTGTTCATCTGTCCATGAGGTCTAGACCAGCCTTTCCCAACTTGGTGCCCTCCAGATGTTTGGGCCTACAACTTCAATCAGCCCTTCAATCAAAGCACTTGGGGGGCACCAGGTGACATCAATAGGGAAAGGGAGAGGGGTAGCCAAGGCTGCCCTTGGCTTCAAGCTGCTGGGGACAAGCTGATTTATTGTGTTTCTAGTCAAGAAATTATTACTTGCACAGCTAAAGTTGGAACTGCTTAGATATTCCTCTGATGTTCTTTCTAACTTATCGGCATCATTGCTTTACCAGCTAATGTTTAAGGCTGCTTAAGCAGTTCCTCTGGAGAAACTGGTTTAAGTGCCTGGAAAGAAGAGTGTCTGCGTTGGGCTTTAATAAAACAACTGCATCCTCTTCCCTTCAATTGCTGAACTAACACACTCTCACCTTCCTTGCCTTTTCAGCTGCCACATAAGCACTTTGGCTTTTAGGAGGCACACCCCTTGGCACATTTGTGGTTAAGCAGACGGACTCTTAAGGAATTTGATTTTTGCAAATTCCAATGCAATCAGTATCTTCTGAATGGACAGAAACATAGATATTCATTGGCTTTCACGCTACCCAAGTTGTTCCTCTTGGCTCAATCCTGTTCCCCAATCAAAATATGTTTTAAAATGCATGTTTGAAGGGGAAATGCATTTAAATGGAATTTGTTTGTGCAGATTTCCTTTTTTAAAAACCCCCCAAAAAGATGAATGCAGAAACTAGACAGAACAGACTTATGGGGAGGGGGGGATGCATAAGAAAGTGAAACAGACCAAGAACAAACTGATTCTCTCATGTCTATCTGAGTGGCAGCATCTTCAACATGTGTGTGGTGGTAGATGCTTAGGACAAACCAGCACGGGCTGGAAGTCAAGGTTTTGCCTGCAACTGCATACCCTCCAACATTTCTCCAATGAAAATAGGGACATGCCATGCCATAAAGATAATTTTAATATTTATACCCCACACATCTTACTGGGTTGCCCCAGCCACTCTGGCCAACTTCCAACATATATAAAAACATAATAAAACATTAAATGTTTAAAAAACCTTCCCTATACAGGATTGCCCTCAGATGGCTCAGGGTTCAGATAACTCTATACCTTCCAACATTACTCCAATGAAAATAGGGACATCCTAAGGAAAAGCAGGACGTTGATGAAATCAGAAACTGGGGCGGCTTCTCTAAATCAGGGACACCCCTGGAATATAGGGAAACTTGGAGGGTCCGCCGCTGCCACCAACCCTGCTGAGTATGTGAGCAGGCCCTTACAGTCAAAGACCAAGACCTATGTTTTTGAACCAGTTTTAGTACCAAAACACTTCATCTTCATCAACTTGCTGCACAGATCAAAAGAAGTGAGCCCATAAAATGAATGGACAAACTAAGCCCTATATATGGTGTGATGTCCACCCCGCACCATTGGTCAATAAATAGCAGATGTGCATCATCAAACAGGTTTTCCTGGGGGGCAAAATTCCCAGTATCATTTCTAGTGCCATTGCAGACAATTGTGATTACTTCAATCAAGTTACGATACGGTTGATAGTGTATTGTTGGAAAATTAGCTCCAGAGTATAGTAATCTCCACTGTGGTCGGTCTATGTCACACACTTTAGATACCTATTTGAAAATGACCCAAAGCAGCTTGTGGACTACGAGGCAACTCGTGATCTTAATTAGACAAATGTTAGTAGCAAATAGAATAAGCACAGTCTTCGCAAAATAAGCAATCAAGGGGTATAAATCCTGCCCTCTAATTTCCTTTGCAATTAAGCAATCCTTGGGCATGCAGGAAGTATGTGTCATTTTAGGAATTTTGGTGAAGGATTTGAAAAGCTTATCTGAGATCAGAAAAACAGAAATTTATATGAGGCTCTTCCATGTCTCCAGGGTGACTCAGTTGAACACGGTCTAGAGAAGACTGATGGTTTAAATGACTTACACCCAGTCCTGAATTAGTAAACTTGCTAACTACAAAGTAAACCCCACTGGATTTGCTGGGGCTGATTTCAGAGTTAACTTGGAGTAGCTGGTACCACTGACTTGTCAAGAGAATGCAAAGGCCCTTCTGCATTCTGCTCTTGGCTGCTCAAGCTAACCTAGAGCTGCTCCTTTGCTTTAGTTTATGATGACCCCTGCTGGATAGTCCTGTCTGAGAACGGGCGGCCATTTATTTATTTTGAAAAAACAATCCATTGGGAAACATTGAACAACAACAGGAAAGGCCTCCTGAAGCCAAAGAGATCAGGAAACCGCAGTGAGTTTTCTCAGCACTCTGTTGATCCAGAGTTTGGCACAATTCCTGTCTCAGCGGAGATCCGAGGGAACAGACGTCTGTGGTCTGTGTACTGCCCAGAGAGAGGCTTGGGAAGATTATAGTCACTCCCAGAAAATGATTACCTTTTCAGAAGCAGCTTCTTGCCCTTTCAGCAGGGCACAGAACTTGGGAATAATACCGGGATACCCTTATATACATCATAGGTAACCAGCTACAAGGACTGTTTAAGGGCCTTGTCAGAAGTGTGATCCAATGGGAGCCCACATCCATTGAACCATGCAGCACATCTAGAGTGATTCCAAGAGTTAGATGCCCATCTCCAGAAATGATCTGAGACATTGGTGAATCACAGCACCACCATTATCACCACCATATAAATATATGGTAAAATAAATAAATGAAGAAATAGGTCCCCAAGTGCAGAGGCAGAGCTAGCTGCTCTGCCACCCGGAGCGGCACACATGCTGTGCACCCTGGGGCAGGGCTAGCTGCCCGTGGGGCAGGGTGAGCATCCCAGGGGGTGATTGCAGTGATGTCACACACCCCTCAGGGATGACACCCCGGGCGGGTTGCACCCACCGCAACCCCCTTCCCCCAATGCCAATGCCCAAATGTATGTTTGGCTTCCAAGTAGATCTGGGTCTGAAAAAGCTGAAGGCTGCCATTCAAAGATAAACAGAACAAAAGAATCGATTTTCAGCTTGCTAGTTGCAAGAGTTCCCCAACAGCCACAACGGACAAAAGCAAGTCATAAGGAGCACTTAAGCAACAACCTCTGAAAAAGGTCATCCACCCGTCACCTTTTCAAAATCACACACATCCGCCAACAGATTACGGAATGGCACGTCTCATGGATTCAGATCATAACCCTCATGCTGCGGCATAATTTCCAGATACTTCTTTATTATTTATGCATTTATTTAAAATATTTATATACTGCTTTTCTATTAAATTATCCCAAGGGGCTTTCAATAAAAAATTCATCGCAGAACAATAACAATCCATCACAAATAATAAAAACTTCTGTCCAAGCCGGCATCATACAGATGATTCATTTGGAGGACTGTTCATGAGATGTGCCAAATGATCTTCTCAGAGCTTCTGAGTAATCATTCCTAGAGTGGGGGGGGAGGGGAGGGCTAATCTGTGGTTATCTACAGGTGTTGCTGTATTTCATTTCCCATCTTTCCTGATCATTGGCTATTTTGGCTGGGACTGATGATGGGAGTTGGAGTCTAACAATATTTCCCAAGCCTTTTTGAATCTCACACCAATCAGCTTTAAGCCACATCTTACTTTTCCTCCTAGTAAAGTATTTGGCTACATCTCCATCATTTCTGACCCACGGAACTCTGCTTTTTATTATTATTTTCCTGTGTGTTTGCTACTATATTCAAAATTTCAATTCTGCTCATATTATTGACTCTACTTTTGTGATATTTTGTGTGCTCACATCAGTATTTGAGCAGACTGTACCTAGGGGTTGGGTAGGTTGGTGCCCGCCAAGGCCACAGGTGCAAGGAGGAGTGCAAAATTGCACCTCTCCACTCTGGCTCAGAGTGGCTAGAAGCCCACCCACCCATCCCCACACTCCCTGGCATGCTTCTCCGGGTGAGGTATGAAGGCTCCTCTGGGCATCTTGGCAGAAGAATTGGGTCATTGGCATGGGTCATTGCAGTAGCTGTGTGAGGTCTCCTCCCCAGTCGATCAGTGGTGCTATTAGAATTGTGAGTGGAGTGCCCAGTGGAGCTTGGAGGGAAGAAATATGAAGAGAGCAGGGCAGAGTTACAGGAGGAGGAAAAGGGGAGGGAGGGGGCAGAAGGGAAATCAGTGAGCGGTGTGATGGAGGCAGACAGGCAGATAGATGGACCAATTGAGGAGGAGGAGGAGGGGAGGCGGAGCAGAGCACACCTGACCTCAATGGCTGTTGATGAAGTCGCTAGTGGAGAGTGAAAGGTGAAAAAAGCAAACTTTTCCATTTCTGGTCCATGATCTCTTCTGGCTTCAGAGGTGCTGATGCAGCTCCTTGCCAAGTATATAAAGAGTCAAATATAAATGATGTCTAAGAGAGAAGTGGCCCAGAGGTGACAGAAATGGATCCAAACTACAAAAGAATTCATTAACATTAGGAAGAATTCCTGACAGTAAGACTGTAAAGTGGAATTTCTGCCAAGGAGTTGGTTGAGTCTCCTTCTTTGAGGTTTTACAGAGGCTGCTGATGCTCGTGGTGTTTCTGCTGCAGGTGGACTGGCCTTGTGGTCTTCCACTCACTATGATCTAATATGCAAGGGAGCCTAGGTACACCTCTGAATCTGAGTGAACGATTCCCCACCCCTGTCACAAACACCTCAAGTTTGTGTTTGAATGAGCAAAAGTTCATACATGTATGCACATTTCCCATGTTGTACACTGATGTCAGATTTCTGGCAGTATAACTGAGAAAATCTTTTTGTTGCAAAAAAACAAAAAAAAGAGGCAACCATTTTGGATATAATAATATAAATCACAATACCTTGCGAATGGTGACACTTCTAGAAAGGCATTGCTGAACTCACCGATGTTTTCCTTTCTAGATTTAACCTGGCAAACTGCTTTTCTTGAAGGGAGGCAATAAAAAACATTCACATCTTTTCTGTTTTGCTTTTAGGTCTGGATGGCAGGTGAGAGTATGGGCAAAACAAACTCCTCAGGCCTGTGGCTGCAGTGTGCAAACGGAGTTTGCGGGATCTTCGTTTTGAAGAAGACGACCTCAGTAAGGGTCCATTTACTTTCATCTGAGTAATGTGCACTGTTTGAAACAACTGTCATGTGTTTTGACAAGGATTGGGACTTCAGGCTCACACCTTTTTCTCTCTCTTCCGTGTGTCACTAGATGCACTCAAGGCAGTGCAAGCCTTCATGATCCTCGCCATCATCTTTTCCTTTGTCTCCCTGGTCATGTTTGTGGTGCAGCTCTTCACGATGGAGAAAGGAAAGCGCTTCTACATGACGGGAGCCATTATGCTGGTTTGCTGTAAGTGAGGCACACACAGAATGTGCTGTTTTGTTTTGCTATGCTCTCACAGGAATTGTGAATTATTTCCCATGGGCTCAGGTTGGTTACAATTAGGGAAGCTTGAGGAATTTGTTCTTTGGAAATTTTGACCTGGTCTATGTCCTCTTTTGCCTGGGGGTACAGGGTCCAAAATTGTCAGTTAACTATACAGTATATTCTTAATGAGTGCCTTGTCTTTAGCTACTGCATAGCAGGAGAGACGTCCAAGCCTCTTTGCAAAGTTTTCACCTTTTGCATTTGCCATGCCACAGGGAACAACTTAATATCCACCCACACTTACTGTGTGCTGGTATTTCCAGGAAAGAACTTCTAGGGAGTACAGTACCTGATCTTAGATTAATCCACATCAGTGCATCCTGTCTTGCTGGGGGGAAAGGAAGTGCTAACTACAAAGATTCTAAGAACTAGAAAAGTATTCAGTAGTAGGAAAAGTGAAATAAAAGGGGAAAGGAAAACCTCAGGTATTCCTGTCTCCTGCTGACTAAACAACTCACACATAAATCACAGCACCTACTTCACTACTTAGCTAAAAGTATTGCAAGGCAGGAGCACTCATTCTGGCTCATTTCACAGAAATCAGTTAGAAGGGTGCATGCACATTTTGCCTCATAACTTTCTTTCTACGAAGCCTAGAGACTTACTTTTTGTATTAAATGAAAACTCAGAACCTGGGCTCCCTTACTGGCTGTGTGCCTGGTACATACGTGCCTCCTGTACATTCCTCTCCAAGTAAATTACTGAGATAATCATGGGGCAGGGGGTGCTATTCATGATGATCTTTGGGCTAGAAGCAGAATTCACATTGAAAAAGAGTCACTTGTGATCATTTGGATGGACCAAAGGTTTATTCTTTCTTTCCCTCCTCAGGGCTGTTCATTCTGATCTCCGTCTCCATCTACACGGCCCGATTTCCACAATACTTCAAAAGCAGTCTAGACCACCACGGCTACTCCTTCATACTTGCCTGGATCTGCTTCTGCTTCAGTTTCATCGTTGGGATTCTGTATCTTGTGCTCAGAAAGAAATGAGGGGAGCAGGGGAGAAACTGGGAGGGCGGATTGGAAATATGGGGGGCTTGTGGGAGGGATGCGAAGTTGCTTTGCTATGAGAACTGTTTGCCCAAAGACATGAATCCATACACTGCTCACCTAACGTGCCCAATCACAGAAATAAATCAGGGAGCGAGGGAGAGAGATTGAGCAATAGACTTTCCACTGTCACGGATCCTGACACCAGGAATGTGCTTGAAGAACCAAATAGCCAGATCTTATCTCTTTTCTCAGAAACTAACACGTGCATCCCATCTTAAAGGACCTTGAGGTTCTGCCTCACTTCAGAAAATCTGGAAAAGTTATAAGGTGCAGCTTTCTTCCTTAAATTTTAGCAGCTATGATATGCTTCCCAGTGATTTCCACTGGGGAGAACATTCCCATTCAATCTGGAAGGTGTAGTGCTGGGACAAGGGCTGAGCAGGTCAGGAACGCTGGGGCAGAACCCTGCCTCCCTTTACTTGACAAGCAAATGACAAACAACATAGGCATGCCTTGACTGACATAAAGCCAAATTCCAGCATTAAAACCACTGCAAGCTACTATTTTTTTTAAAAGACACTTCCTTCACCATCTCATTTCCCCTGGAATAGACTTGCTGTTGCTGAGGAGATCAGAGGGGAAACAACCAGCAGGGAATGACAAGAGGGGTGAATGTGGGTGGCAGAAGGTGGGACGGGGGAGAGGAAGGCAGGCAAGGACCTTAATTATGTGGAATAAAGTTATTAGGGCTCTGATGAATGTCATTAGAGTGTGACTTTCCATTAGAGCCCACTGTGTTACCTATTTAACGCAGCTGCACTAGGAAGATCAGATGGAGCCCCCATGTTGCCACCAAATGGTTAGGTCTGTGATGTGTGTATTCGACAAGCAGTAAGTTTGAAAGGTCTGCTTGCAGTCAGATCTTTTGAGGCATTCAACTTAGGCTCATGGGACCAAGCACCAAATTGGATTTTTATTTTTTTTCATCTATAGGCAATAGGCAACTTTCTCTTGGTTGTCACATAGAATAGGGTTGGGGGTTGTTTTTTAGAATAGGGTTTTTATAATATCAGACTTGCCTTGGCACTATAATGTATACCTTAGAAAAGCCTTAAACTAACTATCACCCGTTTATTTGTTTGCTGCTTTTCTGCGGTAAACCATGCCCACGGCAGCAGACCTTATATCCCACAAGAAATGTTGCATATGACTTAGAGCAGTGCTCCAGACACAGGATTCTGAGGAATGGAATCGGAGGGCCTTCTCTCTGTTGTGTTGGTTTTAATTCCTCACTCCCCGCCCCCATGCCATCATCTCATATAACATCTCCCAGGCCATGAGAAGTAGTTCAGCTAATTAAATGTTGCAAACCGAAGGCCAAGCAGGAAATGGAAAGAATTATTATGTCATCGTGACTGTCCGCATCAGGGTTTTCAACCCTTTTGGTCTTGCCATTTAGATCACTTAGGATAATGCGTGGAAACTATGAACGTTAAGAGGCTGTCACTCTCACTGCCTTGCTCCACTCCAGTCACATGAAACGGGGAGAGACAAATTCAAGGCTGCAAGTTTAGTATCAACAGTATTTTTCTTCTTTCTTTTGTTACATTCTTCCACCCCCACCCCCCATGTACAACTTTTGTAATTTGGTGGCTACATCTTTCTATTGTACTTGCTGTTTCTTGAAGTTTGTTTCGTGTGTGGTCTTTGTAAATATTTTGATACAACCATTCCTAACTGTAGGGATATATTAAAGACAAAAATGACAATAATCCAGTTCCCGTTATCAGAAACAAAGAGTCTTGCTGGAATTGATTTCTTTCTCCCATGTATGAATGTTGTTCTTTTCCCCTGGCTGCATCGAGTTTGATTTCAAATATGGGCTGGCTGCGGTGACACGACCACATGGCTGGGTAATTCAGAGGACCGATGTCAGGAGCTAGCAGAATATAAAGGCTAAACCACATGTAGAGTACAGTGGTACCTCAGCTGATGAACTTAATCTGTTCCAGAAGTCCGTTCTTAAACCAAAACCATTCTTAAACCGAGGCGTGCTTTCCCTAATGAGGCCTTATGCCGCTGTTGCCCTTCCACCGTTCAGATTCCATTATTAGACCTAGGTAAAGTTCTCAAACCGGGACACTACTTCCTGTTTTGTGAAGTTCATGAACCAAATCGTTCTTAAACAGGACTGTTCTTAAACCGACGTATCCCTGTATCACTTAAACCAAGGCAACTACAGTGTAAACCACAGGGCAGTGGTGCTGTTATTGGGGGAGAAACCACAGATCTTTTGTGCAGCATGGAGAATTTCAGGCCTCTAGTCCTTGTGGCTGTGAGGGGAAGTTTAAAATACATTTACAGATGGGTAGCCGTGTTGGTCTGCCATAGTCAAAACAAAAAAATTCCTTCCAGTAGCACCTTAAAGACCAACTAAGTTAGTTCTTGGTATGAGCTTTCGTGTGCATGCACACTTCTTCAGATACACATTAAAATACATTGTGAGAGTATGCCAAAAACTACAAAGCAAAGCAAAAGCAAAGCCAATGTACTGTGTTTTTCAAAACTAATAATTTCAAAGCCTACCTCGTGATACTGGTGGACCAAAATCTCCTCAAGATATTTGGGGTCTGTAATGCTACACTTTTAGTCTCCCCACACGTTTTTTGAGGGCCCAGATTTCATGAGTCCCAAGCTTTATGGCTTCAAAGTATTGTGTTGTTAAATAAGAGGTTTCACTCTTGTTTCGTAACACAATGCCTACAATTATGTAGCAGTTAAGATAAGGAGGTGTTAACCATTCCTTGGTTTTCTATTCGAAACTCCAGGAGGTTTGTTGCTGCCTGTAAGGTAAAAAAGGTAAAGGACCCCTGGATGGTTAAGTCCAGTCAAAGGCGACTATGTGGTTGTGGCGCTCATCTCGCTTTCAGGCTGAGGGAGCTGGCGTTTGTCCACAGACAGCTTTCTGGGTCATGTGGCCAGCATAACTAAACTGCTTCTGGCACAACGGAACACTGTGACGGAAGCCAGAGTGCACGGAAACGCCGTTTACCTTCCTGCCGCAGCAGTACCTATTTATCTATTTGCACTGGTGTGCTTTTGAACTGCTAGGTTGGCTGGAGCTGGGGCAGAGCAACGGGAGCTCATCCCGTCACGGGGATTTGAACCGCCAACCTTCTGATCGGCAAAGCCCAAGAGGCTCAGTGGTTTAGACCACAGTGCCACCCGCGTCCCACGCTGCCTGTAAGGCCCAAAAGAACCAGTGTGCCCTTAAATAATTCAAATGAATTTCATTTTTGGATTATTAAGAGGAGAACAAAAGTCAAATATGGAAAACTGCTGCTTGTGAACCACACCCAAGTTATGGGATTTATTGTTTTGGGCAACAGGGAGAAATCACGTTGGCTATAATTATGAAGGTAACACTTAGTGTTATAAGCAAAAATAGCCTCTAGCATTGTTTTGTAAAGGCTTGTGCAAGAATTAGCCGATGAATTCACACAGTTCTATAATCAGCAGGTTCTCATGTTTCCAAGGCACAGGAGTTTGCACAAATGGAAGAATGGCTTTGAATTTGCTTCCAAGCTTTCTGAAGGGAACTCAGGCAGCATTCCAGGTTAGGTGTGAAACAGCAGGAGACATCTTCTGCTTCCATATGGGCACCTTTCAATACAACCCACTCAATACCACTGCATGGATCTCCCCTGCCCCACCCACATGCAAAAAAAAAGGTTAAATTGCAAAATCTCATATTCATAATTATAAGGGGTGGTTAATTCTTGGCCCCAAGTGCTCATAGCTCCAACCCTCAAGCTCTTCCCATTGTCCTCAACCCCATCTCCATCTCTTTGCCAACTACCTTGGCAAAAACACTACCTTCTGCACCTTTTGAGCACTGCGTGTTGAAGCATGTGGTGAAATTTCTTGGTTTCTTGGAGAATGAAAGCAACAACACATTCTGAACTGGTTTAAGTGCATACCATTGTATAGATCTCTCCTATGCGATCGGTGCAGACTATCAAATTTGGCAGATCCAGTTCTGGGCAAGGCTATCTGCTCTCATCCACAAAGGTACAGTAATAATAGTAATAATAATTTATTTCTACCCCACCCATCTGGCTGGGTCTCTCCAGCCACTCTGGGCGGCTTCCAGCAAAAGATTGAAAATATATTAAAACATCAGTCATTAAAAACTTCCCTAAACAGGGCTGCCTTCAGACGTCTTCTAAATGTCATATAGTTGTTTATTTCCTTGACATCTGATGGGAAGGCATTCCACAGGGTGGGCGCCACTACCAAGAAGCCCTCTGCCTGGTTCTCTGTAACTAGACCTCTGTGTCGGGGTTGAACGATGGGGGTGGAGATGCTCCTTCAGGTATATAGGAATGTATTTTAGTGGAGATTTATGATCTGTGGCTTCCTCAGCAGGACAGAAGGAAACAGAGAAGGAGACAGGCATGCCTCATCAAAGATATATGCACAATTAGCATTAGAAGACTGGGACAGGTTTTGGAACAGAATTAGTTAAGAAGACAAGCCCAGGGTGGTAATAGGAAATATTGAAAACATGGGACAAGTCCAGCTAAAGAATAGTGCCTCCAAGTCAGTGTAAAGTCCTCACAATATGTTTAGTAACAACCAGCCACTCTCAGTGGTCAACTAATTGGTGGCTTGGGGTAGTGCAGAGTAGCAGTGAGAGTTTTCTTTAAGGTCATGTGGGCAACATCTGGCTAAAGCTGTCAGTAGTGAGGCTTCTGAATTTCATTGGGAGCCACCTTACTAGTACAGTGGTACCTTGGGTTAAGTACTTAATTCATTCCGGAGGTCCGTACTTAACCTGAAACTGTTCTTAACCTGAAGCACTACTTTAGCTAATGGGGCCTCCTGCTGCTGCCGCGCCGCCGGAGCACGATTTCTGTTCTCACCCTGAAGCAAAGTTCTTAACCTGAAGTACTATTTCTGGGTTAGCGGAGTCTGTAACCTGAAGCGTATGTAACCTGAGGTACCACTGTAGTGGTCTCTGGACAGGACTTTGGGGCACAGATTCATCGCCCTACTCTGGGCCCTAACGAGCAGGAGGGCTCCAAATGCAGCAAAGCTGACTTACCACATGTTGAAATAAGTGCCATCTAAAGAGGGGTGGACTGAGGTGTAAGCCCATTAAGTCCTAAAATTACCTAAGTGCACCACACTAAACCCTACCTTTCCCTCTGATCAGAGCATTGTCTGCTATCCTGCATTCATGATGCTTAAAGAGAGAGAGCTGTTGAGATCAGAAGAAACCTTATGGGAGCTGCCCTCAGAATGAAAGTTTAAATCTGCACACACAACATACATTTAAAGCACAATTAAATCACGTGGCACCCCCCAAAGAATCCTGAGTACCATGAGGATGATCTGTAGCTCTGTGAGTAGTAAAGTATAGTTTCCAGGCAGGTATTCCAGCTTGGGAAAATGCACACAGAGTACTTGTGTTGGAGACACATTTCCCCTTGCCAGGCAATGATTCTAATCTTCTTAAAATTATCATGGGCTACAACCTGTCAGCAAACTCACTAGTCCTTTTGTT